ATGAGTGTGTGTATGTGTGTGTGTGAATGTTTTTATCCATGAACATTTAAGCACGTACATCTATAGAATATATATATTTTCAAAAAAACACATTACAACCGAAAACGTTTGTGGCACCTCTCTTCTCTTCTTTTTTTATATATATATATATATATATATATATATATATATATATATATATATAGTGTCTCGAAAAGGACCTCCAATCGGTTGCGAACTGTGGCAGGAATTGGCTGGTTAACTTTAACGCCTCAAAAGCAAAACTGCTCTCTATTACTCATCCCAGAAAACCATCATTGTTCCCACCCTCCATTAGAATCTGACGCTCAACTTCTCGAGCGTTCCTCTTTGCGACTACTCGGTCTCGGATTGACTGCTGACATGAGATGGAATAAATACATTGAGTCAATAGCTTCGTCTACCGCAAGGAAAGTTGGCTCCCTGTGCTGCTCCAGGAAATTTTCTCGCCGGAGTCGATCCTTCAAAACTACAAATCAACCATTCGCCCTTGCATGGAGTATTGCTGCCATATATGGTCTGGAGCCTCTTCTGTTTGTCTCAAGGTCCTTGATAAAATCCAGAGACGGCTATGCAATGAAATTGACCCTGATCTGGCATCTCGTCTGCAGTCGCTCTCTCACAGACGTGCCGTCGCCTCCCTCTTTTTTTATAAATACTTTCATGGTAACTACTCCGATGAGCTGCTTTCGCTGGTTCCCAGACTTCATGAATTTAAGCGTTCAACTAGGCTGGCATCTCGCTCTCACCCTTTCACTGTCGAAACTGTTAAATGTAGCCGTCTCTTCTACTCCAATAGCTTCATGTCTCGCACCTCTCGCCTGTGGAACTCCCTCCCCTTTACCTGTTTCCCTGATAGCTATAACCTCCAAATATTCAAATGTAACGTCAATCGACGTCTCCAGATGCCTTGATCTATCACCTATCCTTCTCTTCATCCTTTCCTCTGTCTCTCCTCTTTACTCTCACTCCAACTCTCTGTAACTCCTTGTGTGCTAGTGGCTTCCAGTCTTGCTTGGGGTGAAACTCCGGTATATCTTTAATGTATTTTAGACATCCGAGAATATTCATATTTCTCTCACTTAAACCATCTTTGACTCCCCTCTTTAAAACTTCTCTCTGTTAAATTTTAATCCCCCCTTCATCTTTAGATTTTCCTGTTCTTCTCTCTTGTCTGTTACCCCTCCCTATAGCTTTCATTTACTCTACCATTCGTCCCACACTCTTATATATACACTCTCACTAAATTTTATTTTTTATTCCCGGAGTTGTTTTCTCTGTTTTCTTTTTTAATTTGTAGGTCTGATGAATTGTATTGTATTATGAACCAGTGTTAAGAATATATATATATATATATATATATATATATATATATATATATTTATATATATATATATATATATATATATATATATATATATATATATATATATATATATATATATATATATATATATATATATATATATATATATATATATATATATATATATATATATATATATATATATATATAAAGGCTTATATATATATATATATATATATATATATATATATATATATATATATATATATATATATATATATATATATATATATATATATATATATATATATATATATATATATATATATATATATATATATATATATATATATAGGGTTTAGTGAGACAGAGATGAACCTGCCTTTGTTTCAACGGATCGTCAGGAAAGTTTGGCCAAACTTTCCCTGACGATTCGTTTAGGTCAAACCTAGGTAGGTTTGTCTGGCTCACTAGGTGTATCTAGGTCTGCGCTACGGTTGTATTGAGCTCTTTTGTTGGTTAGTTGTTACTGTATCGGGGTTTTTTTCTTTGGGTTTCAGACCTGCATCAAAAAGGATTTTTTTTTGTCGGCAGAAGTTCATGTTTGTAGCTCTTTCATTTTTTAAAACCTTTTTTTTTTAAACCTTTTTTTCCCTCGAGATTGATTTGATTAGCAAATCAAAATTTCGAGGGTTTTTCGAAACGAGTCTAGTTATCTATATCTATATATATATATATATATATATATATATATATATATATATATATATATATATATTTGAATAAAAGACAGACCACGTTAAGATTCCATGTAATAAGTTATTTCACCATAACCCTTTAACAGGGTTCTGGATCATCAGACTTTACTCAAAAAAGCTGAATTGAAAATGAAAAGAAATTCACACGTTTTTTACGGACCTCATCAAGTATACGCAAAGTTAACGAAGTGAGGAAGTGAGATGGGAGAGAGGATATGAATGTGTCATATGTATCATTTTAGTTTCCTATTTTAACCCCAGTGTGTCGGCTGGATGTTGCTCAAATTTAACGCGTCTCGTCTCTAGATAAAGGTGGCTAAGAGGTGAACGATAAGAACTACATTAAAGGAAGACGTTACAACAACCCCAATAAATTACACGACAGGTTTCATTCAAATTCTTAGACGCTGTCAGTTCGCGTTACTTTAACGTGCATATTTGGGAGGTTAAGGTTTGATAAATATCTCAATTTTAAAACAATCTACGAAGGAATTAATTTGAAATTGGTGGAGTTTTGGGTATTTTCTATGAAACAGTCGATTGGAAAATCCATAGACAGAACATTGAAAGAGCAATCCAATTTATATTTAGTAATTTTTTTTTTTTTCCACTAAAACTTTTATCTTATAGCTTGTTAGGTTGACATTTATTCGTTTGATTTTTCTTCATTAAGTAAACTCGTGATTGTTTTTGATTTTTGTTCATTAAGTAAACTCGTGGTTGTTTTTATGTACCCAATTATCAACAGTTATTCCCATTTAAATAATTTTATTCTCCACACTGGGGTAGTATCTTTCAATCTCAATTAAAGTACCAATCTAATTTTTCCCTTCGTGCTATTTAAAATTCACTTCCAATTGGAGAATATTAGAGGAGAAATTTGGAAGAGATGTCACTAGCAGAAAATTAGGCCCTTCTTTTACAATTTCTTATCTACACATGTCTTAAACCCCTATTTGTAACCACATACCTATATCTTCTTATATGCCTATGAGTTCCTATATACACCTACACACACATTCACACGAAACGATATATGTATATTTCCATCTTTACACATATACACCTGCAGAGAAAAACGCACATCCACATGTTCCATACCTATCTCCATATATACTTATACTTACATATATATATACACACAAGGACATCTGCATATCCATATATATTCATACGCACATATATATATTTACACATCCATACGTATACACATACATACACACACCCATATCTGCATACATACATACATACACATACATACACACACATATGCATATGCATACGCAATATGCATACGCAATATGCAGAATATCTACATACCCACATATGCGTTAATTTGCACTTACATATATCTACCCACGTATTTGTCCCTATCCTCATGTCCACCCGTGCATCCACTTATGCCTGCGTTCGAAGACTATCTCAGTATTTAATTACATTATCTCACAAGGCTTGAGTCAAATTTCATATTCTCTAACACCCAGTAACCCCTTTGCGTCTTAGTGGCTTTAGGGCCTTGTTATGGGGAAATTTAAACGCAGTGTCAATCGTTATCTTCTGTCTTCTTAATTATTGATCTTTTATTGTTCTCTTTCCTTAATAGTAGTTTTTTCTCATATTCTCTAGCACTCAGTAACTCCTTTACGTCTTAGTGGCTTTGATGCCTTGTTTAGGGGGAAATTTAATGCAATGTCAATCGTTATCTTCCGTTTTCTTAATTATTGTTCTTTTATTGTTCTCTCTCCTTAATAGTTGTTATTTTTCTCATATTCTCTAACACTTAGTAACCCCTTGACGTCTTAGTGGCTTTAGTGCCTTGCTTGGGGGGAAATTTAAATGTAATGTCAATCGTTCTCTTCTGTCTTAATTCTTGTTCTTTTATTGTTCCTTTCCTTAATAGTATTTTTTCTTATATCCTTTCTTACTAAATAACCCGATTACGTAGTTGGTTTATTCAATGCTTGAAAAGTAAAAGATCGAATTCTTCACGCGTGATTATTGCAACGATAGCTGAAGAATTTCCTCTCCCGAATATCAGCTTTTGAGAAAGGCCAATGAAAACCCATAAAAGTTAACTCTAAAACATTTGGATCTTAGTCTTTGGAAATTTTTCCCGATGAATGTTTTTCGTTATTTGGTTAGTGGTTAAATGGATTTACATAGACAGAAAGCCAGAATTGCATCGGACTGCTTCATTGCTTACATGTAAAAGAAAGAAAAAAAACAAGGAAATACACCCTGCAACAAGGCCAGTGATCGGGATATTAGAGATTTTGAGGAGCATGAAACCATTTCTTAATTGCTATTGTTTCTAGGTCCAACCTGACCTGGGGTGGTAGCACCTGTTAGGGTTCTAGCTATTGGCAAACAGTGCACCCCAAACTAAAATCATAACACTAGGGAAGTATAAAAATACTTGTTTTTATAGTAAAAAAGTCGGCAATATATTTCTATTAAAAAATTACCAATATTTTTTAGTGAAATTATCAACAATAAATTTTTATACTAAAATGACCAACAATATAATTTTATAGTAGAATTACTAAAAATACGTTTGATAATAAATTGACCAACAATAGATTTTATGGTAAAACAGAAGTCATAGTATTCATTTTCAAAAATTTTTTTTAAAAATTAAAAAAAAATGCTATGATTAATTTCATTTCTTGGCAAGGAGAAACAAGTCTTCACTTCTCATTTGATTGTGAAAGATTATTTGGTAAAAAAAATGCAGCTAAGTAATTATAATTTAATCATAGAAAAAAATTATTCTCTGGAATTAATTATAAAGTTTGAATTTCCATATTTAGATTTCGGCAGTAAATGACCCATATAAGTGTTGATATGCGGCTAAGCAAAAACAATCGCACCATAACTTTACTTGTATCTTCTTCTTTTTCACCTTAATTTTTATTCAGTTTTTCTTTCCTCAAGTTTTTCTTTTTTTCTCATCCCCGTTTTTCTATCCTCTCTCTCTCTCTCTCTCTCTCTCTCTCTCTCTCTCTATCTATCTATCTATCTATCTATCTCTGTCTCTATGTCTATCTCTTCTTCTCTCTATCTCTCGCTCTCTGTGTCTCTTTTTGTCTCTATTTATTTCCTCTCTCTTTCTGTATCTCCTTCTCCCACTCTCTATCTCTTTCTTTCTCTCACTCTCTATTTCTCTGTCTCTTTCTCTATCTCTATTTCTCTCTATTTTTCTATTTCTTTCTCTCTCCCTCTCTCTCTCTCTCTCTCTCTCTCTCTCTCTCTCTTTCTCTTTTATGTTACTCTTCTTTTTTTGTTTTTTTCTTTGTTATTTTTACATTCCTAGTTCTTTACTGGTTTCATTCTTCATTGCCTTTTTCTTTCTCTTTCTAATGTTACCTTTTCTTTTTCAGATTTTTTCTTTCTTTCTTTTCTTTCCTTTACATTTTTAGTCTTTCTCTTTTTTCCATTCATCGCCAAATTTCTTCCTTCTTTCTTTTTTTTTATTCATTTTCTTTTTATTATTTTATATTTTCTCTTTTTCCTTCCTTCTCTTTTCTTTTGATTTTTTTTCTTTTTTTCTCCTTCTCGTTTTATCTTTTATCTTTAATTCTTCCTTCGTTGTTCCATTGTTTCTTTCTTTCACATCATTTTCTTTCTTTTTCTCAGTCATTAAAATTATATTTCCATTTTCCAACATTCTTCTTTTTTATCTTCGTACTGAAGAAAAAAAAATTATCTGGTAAAAAACAATGATGCAGCAAATTAATTATATTTTAATCATGAAATAATGTCATTCTCTTGAATTAATTATAAAGTTTAAATTTTCATATTTAGATTTCGGTATTAAATAACCCATAGAGGTGTTGATATGCCGCTGAACAAAAACAACCAAACGAAACTGAGGAGGAAACATTTCTAAAGTATAACATTATGGTTAAGTATATGCTTTATTATAATAGCATGTTTGGATTAAAAGAATTTAGTTTTTCCTTAAAATATCGTTCTATTTTTTATGTCAAAATCTGACATTTCACGAGTTTCAATTTAACATGTATGTATGTATGTATGTATTAGAACCTCCAAAGATAATTGTATACGCGCATACTAATTAAGTTTAAACGTCAATTGCTCTGTGTGGCTTTCCTGTGATTAAATAAGCAAAGTACAAATTACAACATTGCAAAAAAAAACAAACCATCTTTTAGAATGATGAGAAAGTTTGTTTTTCCTTCTTTGAGAATTCATGTCTGTAAGGCATTTGAACGTTAGATTTCGCAGTTATTCCAGACATTCAAAGTATTAAGGTACTGGATTTAAGGAAGAAACAATAATAGGAAATCAATGGCAACAAAAGAAAAAGAAAAGACAGAAAAAGAGTTAACAATGAGAAACATTTAAAAAAAACAAAAAAAAAACGATTTTAAACTGATCAAAACACAAAATGGATTAGCGAGATTAAATTCACAGAAATGAAACCAAACCGAGATTTGCGTTTTACAACAAAACAGGATTTGTGATTTCTTTGTCAGTAATTTGAGCGTTTTTTGTTTTTTTTCTTTTTTGTATTAAATCTAAAGAAGAAAATTCAACAGATCAATATTTTATCAGTGCATAAAGACACTTATGTGTCTCTGCTCATGTGTGTGTGTGTAGGTGTAGGTGTGTAGTGAATTAACTAGTTAAACGCTACACCAGTAAGGGTTGTATGACGTCTATTATATAATTACTTGATAAAAAGCAAAGAAGAAACTCCAGTCGATGCCGACCTGGCATTTGAGCTTCTCTCACTTTCCCTCAGCCGTAACGTAACCTCTCTATGCCTTGTCTATAAATATTCTATTGAGCTTTTATCTTTGATACCTCGACTCTAAGCATACTATTAAATTTACGCTACGTCTCAGCAAGTAGTATTGCATTTGCTAAATACGACAGTAAGTTCTATGTTAATAGTGTCTTCTCTCGTACTTCTCGTTTGTGGTACTCTATTCCAGCTTTTTCTTTCACAGACAACTTTAATCTTCGAAAATGTAAATGCAATCGTCCTCTTTTGTCTTCTTAATGCCCTATTCCTTTAATGTTTTTTCTCATTAATAATGTTTGTTTTCTTTTTCTCCTATTATTTCGCACTCAGTAACCCCTTGAATCTTAGTGGCTTCATTACCTTCCTTGGGATGAAATGATAAAAAACTATTCCATTAATAACTAGAAATAGAAAGAGGAAGACTGCGTTGCATCAATCTTGCAAATGAGAAAAGTTTACATTGAAAATCAGCACTCAAATCCTAGCTAAGAGACCGAACGAGGTGCATCTGAGGAAGGAAAAAAAACAGGATACTCATCTACTCGGGCGACTAGACAATCCCTATTGCAGACACTTTCCCAGACACATTTTGTTCATAGCCAACCTTTAGTTTATATTGCAACTATGTTGAGCAGACCTGAGTTTCAGTTTTCTATCGTGATCAACAATCTGAACAAGGCCAGAACGCTCAAACCCACAACTATCGACGACCACAGGGGTATCGTCTACCCAATTTCACTCACAAGGCCCTCGGTCAACACATGGTATGGTTTTCAGGAACTGGGATCGAACTCTCCAGTCCAAGTAACATCATAAAGTCTCCTTCCTAATGAAATCGACCATCATGCTGAGATTCGAACAGATTCGTCAGAATGCGAACGTTCTAAGCACTCGGCTACGGGCCCATATTATATATATATATATGTATCGTCATTCACAGACTGTTTATTTTTTGTAGACACACAAATATATATATATATATATATATATATATATATATATATATATATATATATATATATATATATATATATATATATATATATATATATATATATATATATATATATATATATATATATATATATATTATATATATATTCATATATATATATATATATATATATATATATATATATTCATATATATATATATATATATATATATATATATATATATATATATATATATATATATATATATATATATATATATATATATATATATATATAAAGACACATTTATGTTTAGACGTTCTTTTTTATTTGTAAACATAAAAATGTCTTAAAATAATTGTCGGACTATGTCCATTTCATAATGTGTGACGTCATTTGTTTACATTTGGATACGCATCGAGCAGATATGAACGTACGAGAAAAAATCGTGGAGAATTGTAGCCTAAAATCAGTAGCATCGACCTTGATGACCAAAGCACTTCTCCGTAGCTCAATCGGTAAAGCACGTCAGGCTATATGACGGTTTCGTATAGGATAGAGGTTCGATTCCTGTCGGAGAATGCATATTTTCTTTGAAAATTTCTCGGACATTCAGGCCGGTAAATGTCGTTGATTCTATTTATTATCAACAGGGCATTTACCTAAATATTTGCATCTATGAAAAAAAGGGCGTATAGAATGTCTTAAAGTAATTGTCGAACTTTGTCCATTTCATAATATATATATATATTCTGTTTATACGTTATTTTTATAGGCATAATTTATTGAAGTAAATGCTCTGCTTTTTTAATTAAGCAGTATTAATTACATTTACGGGCCTGAATATTTGAGAAATTTCGTAGAAAATATGCGCTCTCCGACAGGAATCGAACCTGTAACCCTAATGGGAATCATTATTTGATCTGATGTGCTGTTAACCATTCAGCCACAGAAAAGTGTCTGGTTAACAAAGTCCGAATTACTTTTATGTTTCGACGATTTTTCCTCGATCGATCATTTCTGTTCACGAAACGTATCTTAACGTAAACAATGACAACATATTATGAAATGGTTAACAGCATATTTGTGTGTATGTGCGTGTCTGTGTGTGCGTGTTTTCGAATTCATATGGTCCCATAACTCAAAGAGATACAGATTTTGTGATACTAAAAGAACGACATGCCATATTTATGAACCACTACAGAAAGCGAAGAATTAGTTGACTTCATTAATGGAAGCGAACTAAAATTCCTTGAAATAGATTTATTTATATATTTGCTTAGATTAAAAGTAGTAATCAATATTTAATATAATTCCCATTGATACGAACTACAGCTTCCATTCAACGTGGAATAGAAGAATACGACATTTTATGGTTTATCAAATACGCTCTACCGTTTTATGACAGTAAGTGGCAAGTTCCTTCGTTCACTCATTCTTTGAGAGATTGCGATAATTTTCATCCGCTGCCCTCAACTCACTCTACTCATTTTAAAACTGAAATCAATCTCACAAAATCAAAGGATCCATGCTTTATACAATTTGTATTCGATCGTTTGACATGTGAAATGTTATATAGGAATAAAGTGTCGCTGCCAACACTTGAGTTTGAACATAGATCGACAGTGTGCAAACAAAGGCGATCCCATTATTGAATTAAGTGGACCACGTTAGCATAGAGGAAACGCATGAGTAGGGAGTCGCATGATCGTCATTTCTATTCTATCCTCTATTACTATATGGATCTCCATTTCTATTCTATCCTCTATTACTATACGGATCTCCATTTTTATTCTATCCTCTATTACTATATGGATCTGCATTTCTACTCTACCCTCTGTTATGTGATCGTACCCATAATAATAATAATGGTCTATTCCATACTTAATAAATACTGCACCTCGGGAGTGGGCAAGGAGTCAGTCAGTAGTTCACCTCCTGAGCGACTGCACGGTTCAACTCTCTTCCTACGGGCGAGAGGAACCCGAAGGAGGCTACGCCGAAGGGCGGAGTCTCCTTCGGGGAGGTTAAACCGGCCCAGAACCCGTTTATGCGGGTTCAAATGGGCTATTTTTTGGCCGAGCCTAATGGCTCGGGAATTCCCACGTTAAAAAGGCCTTGTGCCACATGACACCCTCGTGGGGGGGTGACTGAATATTGTCAGTCAGTAGTTCAAGTCCAGTCAGTAGTTCGAGTCGAGTCAAGAGTCGAGTCAGAGGCAGTCCGAAACAGAGTCGCGTTCAGACAATTACTGCAAGACATTGGAATAGTGATACTGGTGGAGACTACATTGTTCTCTCTACTAAACCTGATTGTTCATATTAACACTTCTACTTCTCTGTATATATTCCTGTTTGTAATATATCTGTGTTATACCATACCTGTGTTCGAGTTCTTCTTTATTGGTTCTACCTTGGACTATCCCCGTGGTACAAGGAACCGGACCATAACACCCTCTATTGCTATACGGACCACTATTCTCTCCTCTATTCACTATACTATTTCTCTATTCGGATCACTATACGGTGGTTACTATTCGAACGAGTATTATCGAGCAAGTACTATTAGTGCAAGTGATGTTCGAAGGCGTCTGGTACAAGCATTGTTCAACAGTGTTATTGTAGTTGTAATCTGCGATTACAAAGTCTCTACTACAACGAGCATTTACAAAAGTGACAACGAGTATTCGTTAGCATAATAAAGGCGGCAACGAGTTTTCGTTGACATCACAAAATGAAATTTGAATGCATGTCGGGAATGATTTTTACACCCCTTTTTTCTGTGCTACAAATAGTTCAGCCCTGCATCTACTGTTCACGTGAATTGGATGAATTGCATTGCAGCCCTGAATAAAAATGGGTACTTCTCCTAAAAGTAGACCGTCGAAAACTTACTTTTTAGTGAAAACTAAGCAAATTTATTTATTTTTATTTTATTTTTATTTTTTTGTCTAGGTAACACATTCCTTCCTTATGTTTGCTACTCAATCCGCAGGTAAGCCGATCTCGAATAATTTCGTTTGATGTGATACAGACTGCTGCTATGCAGTTGAAAAAAGATCGGAATGATTGTAATAAAGATCAGTTATGGAAACAATACAGAGTATTTTCAAAAGACCACGTTCATTACTTTAAATAATTTCACGCCAAGTAAGGTAATAATACCACTAAGACGCAAGGGTGGAAGAAAAGACAAAAGGTATACGGTTCAGGAAGACAGAAGATAATGCCACTAAAATGCAAAGGGCTACTGGGATCGAAAGGGAGTGTGAAGACTTGAGTGAGGAGACAGGACAATAAAAGAACAGGTTTCAGGAAGACAGAATGTTATACTGGAACATACCTATTCTATTGTTAATAGACTCTCCCACCTATAATAAGTAGTAGTAGTAGTAGCAGTCGCCAGGGAGCTCAGAGAGTTGGTCAGTCAGTCGATGTCGAACATTAAAGTATCAACCACCACAACTAGATTGCTGCGTCATTAACTCTTATATCAAGTTCCTAACGTTTTGTACGTCGAACCTTTTTAGGACCGACCTAGTGAAATACAAGCCTCCACTGTGAATCTACTCTATAACACAGAAGTTGGCGAGAATGCCACTAAGACACAAGGGTTACTGGAAGCAAAAGACAATGAGAAGACTTTAGCGAGGAGAAAGAACAATAAAAGAATAGGCTTTAAGAAGACAGAAGATGGCGATAATGCCACTAAGACGCAAGGGGTGGCAGTAAAAGAGAATGAGAAGATTTGAGTGAGGAGAAAGGACAATAAAAGAATGGGTTTCAGGAAGACAGAAGACGATGATTGAAGTTTCATTTAAATTCCACGGGTGACAAAATATTGCCAGCAATATACTTTTGAAAAAAAAAAAATTATTACCAGCAATGCATTTTTTGGGGAAAAAAATTATTACCAGCGACACATTTTTGAAAAAAAAATATTGACCAGCAATACATTTTTTTGGCCACAGCGTCAATTCAATAATAAAGTTGCATTCTTCTCTCGCGGTCGGTGATCGCTAGTTGTTTTGAGTCCAAAGATAAAAGAACTTCAACACAGAGAATTTTAAATTATCTAATTTTATTAACGTTCATGTTGACATCCAATGGGGTTTGTTACTCCTCACTAAGAAGCCGTTTCAGACACGAAAGAGAAGACATCTACATTGCTTGACGGTTAAGAAACAACTCGCTGAAACTTCTCTCCTAACTATCATTCACACGCTGGCTCAGCCAATCAAACTCGAGTTCTTTATTTTGGCTTGCATCTGACCTCGAAGTTCAACCTCCGGAAGTCGCAGCTGAGATAAAATGCCGCCGAAAAATAATAGTCTGCTAAACTGTTATTTAACATGAGGGTATTATAAATGTAAAGCACCCAGCGGATATTCTGAAGATGTAGGGACGCTAAATTTTAAATTTCAGAATTTCTCGCGTCCGACGTGTCCAGACGCACAGCCTAGCGAATCTCATTCGTTTTCCCAAAGCTGGTTTTTTTTGTTTTTTTTTTTTTTTTAATATCCTACACTGCAATGTGAAATGTCGTATGAATCTGCGCTTAAATTTACCGTACCATAATTTGTCGCTCCTGGCTTACTACCTTACGGTAAAAATGATTGATTCCACGGGCAGAGTGATCACGTGACCGGAAGCATTCACTCAGAATTAAAGTTTACAAAAATGTGTGTACGAAGAAATCATTTTATTTTCACTTTAAGGCAATAGTAACTGAAGCATCATTGAAAACGTTTTTTCTACGACGCCGTTTACAAGGCATTGTCATTTCCAGAAATTCGTTCAGAATCGTGATGAAATCGATCATAAACAAAAATGATATGTTCATCCATAATTAATCAGAGCTAAGAATCGGAATCTCATGAAGTATTAAAATAAAGTTCATATATATATATATATATATATATATATTCCATGATCATTTTCCAACTTATTTAAAATGACCCTTGCCCTCTCTAACCTTCTAACTTTCTGTCCTAGACTACATGTTCCGTCTCAGGTTTCACGTACGATTTCATTTTTAAATCTGTTTTCAATGCTCTTTCAGCTGTTGCAACTGAAACTCCTCTATCACATGACAAACTTGATTGTATGGATTGAGTTGGATGTTTTATAATTGATCTTTTTAACTCAAACTTGAAACGATGATCTCTCTTCCTGATTCAGTTTTCCTCTCTACTGTTCCCTCTTTTTAAACTTATTCCCCGTTTTCATCCTGGTTCTTCAATGAACTTTGAAGGTGGAAGCTACAGTATTAATTTGGTACCATTACTGAAGGCCTGAATGATCTTTTTCGCATCACCATTGCTCAGTTGAGAATAAAAACGATTTTAACCTGCCTGCTTTGTAGCTGAATAGCTCAAAGAGTTTTCAAAGATTCTTACGATAAATGGTGTTAAGGTGGATAAACGTCTAATTTTAAAAACCTGGAAAAACTCTTACTATTACTTTAGTGGGTTTTTTTTTTTTTAGATATAAAACATTTTGTGGATTGGACAATTATCCTACGCTGTTCTACGATTTGGACAATATACCCATTATATCTGTCTGTCTATATTTATGAGAAATATCCGGACTGTACATACGACTTGTTACGAGCATTGTTATATATATATATATATATATATATATATATATATATATATATATATATATATATATTATTAGGCAGCAATTTTACATTAATGCCTGTTTCATTAAGTAATATAGACAAGTTTTGTCTATTTATTTTAAGTAAGTTCCTTTCATATTGTCTGATAAGCTTAATCACATTACCGTCGAAAGACGAAAGGAAAACACCATATTGATACATGTTTAAACCCAGTCTAAGCTTTTGGCTTACATAAGCCATTATCAAAGATGACAATTTCAATAAATCAAACAACAACGGACGAAACAACAATGATCGTCCGCCCTTGCCGCATGAAAATTTTCAAGTAACGACAAACTCGTATATACGAGACGCGGAAGCGAAAATTGCGTCGCATCTCGTGACGTCACACATGTCCACACGAGAGTGAAAACCGTTAAGTATTAAGTATGGGAAGCCGTTGATATAAACCAATGGCTTCTGTTATAGATTATAGGCATTTAAGGATATTTGTAGAGATTTCATAGTTTATTTTGTTCAGGTTAGGTTTCAACTGTTTTATGTATAAAGTTTCAAGAATATTTAATTTTTGTTTATTGTTTATATGTTTCAGTATAGTTGTGCTGTCAACAAGGATTTTCCGGAATTGAGTACGCGGGCAGGCATGTTGTTTTAAAGGTCTAAAAATGTTAGAGCTATCATTTAAATGTAGAGTCAAGCGCCGTGAAAGCGAGTTTGTGGTTATATATATATATATATATATATATAAATCCCTTATACAAAGGACTGTAATTCCCAAGATCATCTTGGTGTCAGTTATCTAACTGCTGCATCCAAAACAATGTCCATGTATAAATACTGGAAGGTGTGGGTAGTGTAGCTGTTATCGACACAAGCAGCAGAATCGGAAACTCGATTTCACTAGTTCGTACTAATAGCCTTGGGAAAGGTATGAATCTATCCTGTCGGCCTTACAGCGACACCATGTTGAAACACCGGTTCTCGTACGATCACCAAAGTTAAGCAACGTCAAACCTGCTCAGTTGCTAGATGGGTGACCGCTTGGGAATGCGAGGTGCTGTCAGCAGGGATGTGTGGGTGGTGTAATGAATACCGTCTTTGGATTATTACTCGGAGAATCGAGAGTTCCAATTTAAGTTGGGTTCGTTAAATTCACTTACGTGCAAATACTCTTGGGAAAGGTATGAATACACGTCTTATCTCATCTATGGCTTAATTAGTAAGATCTAACGCCAAACCATTATTATCTAAAAATATCTTACAATCTAAAATCATTTTCTGGCTTTAAATAACCTGCAATGGGTTGATAAACCGTAAAAAAGAAAATCAATTAGACCATCAATATCTTGCTTTCCCCATGCACCACAAATATATATGATAACGGGTAATATAACAAAGTAGTCTAGGATCTCTTAGACTACTAATCATAGATGGCAAAGCTTAATACAAATCAGCAAACACCAATATTTTAAAAAGAATTTTGAATGTGTATGTGTATAAGCTTGCCGATTTTTGTAAGTACGGACGACAATACACGATATTATGAGAAAATAAGAGCGATAATTATAGTAAATTTAAAATCAACATTTTATAAACTCTATAAAACAGCAGATTACGGAGAATATTTTGCTAAATTTTTAAGATTACTGAGTATTTAAAAATTATATATAAAAAACGCTTATGTCATTTTCTTAAATTAGATCAACAATAGATATGTCACCAGGCTACCATCACGTTACAAATGCTACTTTTGGGTTTAAAACGCAGCTACTGCTGTGTTTAAAAATGCATTTCTGTCATATTTTAAAATTAAAATCAATAATATTTGTTTAAAATCCGATTAATTATACTTTAAATCATCTAATATCACAAAATTAAGTTTCAGAAGAGCATATTTCATTTTTAAAAGTTTTTTTATTTTTTTTATTTTATTCTAGAGTATTACATTGCATTGAAAGACAAGTTAAAAGGACGCTGGTCAGCTATTTCAGAAAAAAAAACTCGTTCCAGTCAATTTGAATGAGTTTTTGAAATACAGCAAAGTATTTTGCTTATTGGAAATATTAAATTCAATCTATTAGCTTGAAATAAAAACTAAAATAAAAGTTTCAAGAAAGATTTGCGTCCTGGGTATGACGATAAACTATATCCGACAGCAAGGCCTCTGATCAGGAGGTTTTGAAGAGCATGGAACCACCTCTTAATTCTTTTAGTGCTCCCAGGTTCACCCTGACCCGGGGTGGTATCACCTGTCTGGGTCCCAGCTATGGGCAAATAGTTACCCCCCCCCCCGCCAAAAAAAAAAAAAAAAAAAAAAAAGATGTCAAACACTATGAAAGTATAAAAATAGGTTTTAATACCAGCAATACTTTTTTGGAAATTCATTACCAGCAATACATTTTTGAAAAAGAAAAACATTACCAGCAAGATATTTTTGAAAAGAGAAAAACTATTACCAGCAATAAAAATCTTGTCGGCATAAAATAACTCATTGAGATTGATAACAGAAGAAACGAAGGCAAACCAAGAAAGATTTTTCATTTTTAAATATCCCTTTTAAATCTTAAGCTTAGGAACCTCCACAAATATATCACGTTTTTGTGGAAGTCCCTATGTATAAGTAATGATTCTTTTTTAATAAAGGGAGATAACTCATAAGAAAGACTGAATAAATAAACAGAGAGAATATTATTTTGGTTAAAAGAAAAAATATGAAAGTTTTTCTTTTCCTATGTTTAAATAAATCGGCAATGAACCTGTTAAATCCAGACAACTTATATTTAATCTATTTTTGTACCGGGCAACTCCAAGTAACCCTTTACCTCAATTTTTAGCTGCAAATACCAAACCTGGTGACCCAATTCTTTTTCCCACCCAAAGACTTTCCTCCTTACCGCAACCTACACTTCGTTAATGATCCGGGTACATTTCACTTAAAGAAGCTGTCGACATCCGACATTTTGTTGCCAATTGTTGAAGCGTAATCGTTTGACATAAAATTGGGAATGTCTTTATTTTTTACCGACAAAAGGAGGGTCAAGTGAGTTATGTGAGGGCGGGTACGAAAGCAAATAAGTCATCGTCTACACCCTTATATTAGTATGACTTCATTTTCTTAGCGGCGATATATAGGCATACCTACTTTATACACACGTATACTTATACTTTCTTCTGACCAGATTTCGTCCTGAGAGGTAGGGCAAGATGTTTTTAAATGTATATAGCATCAGGCGTGTTTGTGTGTGGGGTGGAGTGGACGTGTGTTCTACCCGATACTTTTTTTAGATCATGATTATCCATGCGCAATGTGATATTCGTGAAAATATTTTATTCAGGATTTTAGAAGTATTCAAGCACACGAGACCTGATTTCTCTGATTATAAAAATCAGAAAGAAAGAGTAATGACAGCAAGGCCTCAACAGCGGCAGCAGTCGACTCATTAGAAAAGAGAAACCAGGGTAAGTCCAGGAGGGCATGACAAACAGTAGCAGGCTCATAAGCAGGAATTTAGAATCGGAGACCCAAGAGCCACTCAAAGTAGAGGGTTAGTGTGTGAACTTATTATAGCGTGGGAAAAAAAGCGTTAGAGCTGAAGTAGACTTTGGAAATAACCGAAAACAGAATCCTAAGCAGGAAACCTCCACTCCTGTTCAAAAAACAAGTGTAGGATTGTGAATTGGAGAATTAATGTTGATTTATTAAGTGATTGATTTGTTTTTGACGATTTATCAACCCTTTATGAGTTATTTAAAACTAAAACATATTTTGGATTGTAAGAATAAGTCTTTATTTTTATTAATTTATTTTATATTTTATTAATTTATATTATATATATATATATATATATATATATATATATATATATATATATATATATATATATATATATATATATATTGCGAGTGAACGTTGTGTTAACATTTTCTTAGATAATGTTTTATCCAGATACAAGTCCTACTATTTAACCCATAGCTGGGGAGAGAGTTGAGATGGATTCATACCAAGGGGATTTGAACGTAAATGAATGTAATGAATTTGACTGGAAATCGAACCCTGAACTGATTTTTCATTCCGAGGTGCTATCCATTACAATTTGGACTTAAATTTAAGGCTCCAAGTAGATTTGAAATTCCCTTAAGGTTACCTGGATCAACAAGCACCAGAAGAAGGCACCGGAAGAAAAGAAGCAGCGGAAGAAGTCACCGGAAGAATACAAGAAACCGGAAGAAGGCACCAGGAGAATACAAGCTACCGGAAGAAGGCACCGGGATTATAGAAGCACCGGAAGAAGTCACCAGGAGGATACAAGAAACCGGAAGAAGTCACCGGAAGTTTAGAAGCACCGGAAGAACCCACCGGAAGAATACAAGCACCGGAATAAGGACGGAGTTGAGACGATGTAGCAGAGCGTGATGATATAACGATGTAACAGCAAAATTGACCAACAGCATTGGACAGTTTTCCATTCTACAAAATGCTTAATATAAAAAAGTATCACAAAATTAATTGAGTCTCTTTTTTCCGGGTTTTCAGATAAGAGCTTTAGCCATTTGTCGGAAGAATAACTGATAAATCGTTTAAGTTATTCAGCTAGAAAGAGAACATGTTAAAATCGTTTTGTGTCAGCCCAGCTGTCTTCTCAAAAGAACAATAGTGAGAGGAAAAAGATCATTCAGACCTTCAGTAATGGTACCAACATTTATACTCTGGTTTCCTTCTTCAAAGTCTATTCAAGAACCATTAAAAGAACGATGAATAAGTTTTAAAAATAGAGAACAGTACAGAGGAAAACTGGATGAGGAGGTCGCAACAGGAAGTGGGATCATCCATTCAACTTAGAGCTAAATACATTCTTATTATTCAAAGTAGAGTCTAACAGTGTTACAAAAACCTCGAAGAATTCCAGTAAGATATCTTTAATCATTTCTAAACTACACCAGTTCGGAGCTCAATCTAATAATTGGAGAGTTTTGCTGTAACAGGATTTGGACAATTTTGCTGTTACAGCCGGTATAACAAAAAAAAAAGCATTATTAAGGAATGAGAATAAGGTTTATATTTTGAGTTTCATCATAACTTTTATAGTGTGGGTCATATCGTAACTTTCTCAGTAGTAGTTTGAACATAATTAGTATGTGACGTCCTAACATTCACAGTAGGAGTCCTAACATAATTTCCATCTCTTGAGTCTTATCATAACTTTTGTAATATGAGTCTTATAACTTTTCTAATTTGAGTCTTATCTTAACTTTCACCACACTAGTTTCAACATAGCCTTTAATGCAAGACTCTCATCATGGTATTTATATTGAGTCTTATAACGATTATAGTTTGAGTCATATAACATTTATAGTGTGAGTCCTAACATAATGTTCATGGCATGAATCTTATAATTTTCACAGCGTTAGTTGTAACATAACCCTTTCAGTGTGAAGTCTATCTCTCAGTGTGAATTTTCTCAGACCTATCGTCACTTTTGAAGTCGTCCACGTTTCTTGCATAGGATTATGTATTTGACCCTCGATTTGCCAGCTGAAAAGGTTGATAAACATTATAAGAATCCTTTCTGAAATATACCAACCAAACGTCAAGTCATCTGTTGTCTAGACCAGTGGTCGCCAACTGGTGGTCCGTGCAAAATTTTTGATGGTCTGCAGAAAAATTGGGATATTATTTCAATTTTTATGAAGCTTCAGATTCAAAAATGAGTAACAAAACCCATTATGGATGGTATATATGTTCAAGAACTTATGTAATCTCGAAATAAACACGAGTACACAAATGCGACATCATCCAAACATAGTATAAACTAACATAACTTGCAAAGTCATGTTCAATACTTGTCACTTTTTTAACACACCATTAATTGTTACATATGTTATAATTTCATTGCGTGGGACACGTGTTTAGGTGTATATATCTAATTTTGTGTACAATGTAGCATTATAAACCTCTCTGAGAACTAATGGATAGTGTATATATTCAAGAACTTATATAGACTCGAAGTTAACACGAGTAAACAAATGTGACATTATTCAGCCATAGTATAACCTAACATGACTT